AGGTCAAGGCGTGGTAACCTTTTGGTATGTTGTTCAAGAAGACCTACTGACGACGTTTACATAGGAAAAGTCTGTTAAGCAATTTGTTACGGGTTAACCCTCTTTTTTTCGGATTTCTCCTTGACTAACACCCAAAAAACCCGAAAGTCGTAGATTTCAGGATATGAATTTTGGGCAATATGCACGAATAGCTATCTACTGATACTTGATCGACTGAAAATGTATAGAATATGCATTTACAAGCCACGAAAACAGCCTAACTTGACTTTTTCAGCTCCTTGACCTGGAATTTTCTCAAAAACGGCCAAACTACAGATATCGCGGTTTGTTGTTCCTCAATCAGAAGGCTGTCTAGTTGAAATTTCCACAAAAAAATCGCGGGTGTATCTACCCGATAAAACGCATTAAAACCATACATAGAAAAAAAAAAAAAAAATCGTGGGTGGTACGTTGACCGCAATAAAAGTGTTTATAAAACGTACTGTGACTCGTGTCATGCTTAAATGAAACTATTCTTTAATAATGTATACACTGTCTACACCGATTTAGTTTCACAGTGGAGATACTATTTTATTTCAATAATTGTAAGTGATTATTCGGCGGTACGGTACCGCCACAGAATATATTATGCGGTAGTACCGTACCGCCGTAGAATATGTTATTCGGCGGTGCCAGGCTTCTTAAAGGTTATACTAAAACTTTTTAGAGAATATTAAAAGTGACTTTTAAATCTGCTAGGATTTTGAAAAGTTTATTGGAAAAACGTTACATATGAATTTAAGTGGCAACATTAGTTTTACTTACACCTAAAACAAAAATTGTATGCAATATTTTCACTGATTACTGATACTGGACGAACTGTTTATTCTGGCAATATAGACGATTAGGAAACCCCGTAATCGCAAAGTCGCGGGACCCGTATCCAACCATACTGGTTGCCGTGGTTAGCCGAGGGAAATCGTGATTAACCGTGGGGAATTTAACGCTTCCTATGATGAACTGTAATGGTGAATTCTTTATATGAAGTTAGGAGAACTGTCATGTTGACATTTAACAATTTTCGTGTTGATGTGTTGCTACAATAGATATTTTGATTTATAGGTATTTGTTTTGTGAAAAAGTAGGGCTGTGCGAACAGTGAATTTTTCAAACGAAGCGAATAGCGAATGATTAAAGTCAATTAACCACAATTGTGAACAGTAATACCGAATAATTAAGATAACTTTTTAAAGTGTGAAAATTCGCAAATATGACAAAAGTCGACAAATAAGTGTGATTAATTTTTTTGAAATTTTTCCATTTGCTCATACCCTTGCACTGAAAACAATGAAATGCTATGATAGTAGCCTAGGCTGTTAAGAATGTGTTTGAAGATCCCTGCAATTTTAAGCAACCCACGAAACTCTCAGGCTCCAATTTTTGTGCATATAATTGATTGATTTTGAGATATTTTAATTCCAGTTTGGTCTGCTGGGAATGATAACACCGCACAACAAATTTCGAATTTGGTTTGTCCTTCAAACGAAACCAATTTTTTCGATTCCTGGGTGATATAGAAGTGTGTAGAACTGTGTATGCACTGGAGTGGTCACGCATAAAGAAGAGACACGAACAAACACTGAAGAGAGGGGCAGGACTGGATTAAGTTATTGTCGTCTCTAATTTACTTCCAAACGGCTAATGTGAAGAACCATAAGACACATCTTGGTGGTGGATCACTTGGTATGGATAAGAGGAACCTTGAACTACATGAAATCATATCGGTAAAGTTGGAGGGGTCAACAGGCTGTAATACCAAAAACAAGGTGAACTTCAAACTCTAGCATGAATTCAAAAACCACATGCTTTAGATAAGGAAACTACAAAACACTTGATTTGAGGTGCAAATGAAAAGAGAATGATCAAAGAAAAGAATATCAGGGTTTGAACTTGTGAGAACTGACTTTCTGTTTCAGAATGCACATCACAATGAGCCAATAGGCTATAAATTCAGGTTGTAAAATACGATGAAAATGACTGTCAAATGCTTTGTAGAAGTCGAAAAATGTTTAAAATTAAAGAAAATTAAAAGATTTTGAGTTGCTTGGATCCTTCCTGGTATCAATCTTCGTTTGTTTACGAGCGCCCGTCGTTTCCGATGGCCCATGCTCAGCCACGGTCGCCCGGTGAATAATATTCGCGAACTTCAACGCCTTTTTTCATCACGAAGGAGTTAGTTTCGGACAAAACTGAATGTTGCAGAGAATTTTTTGTAAAATTTTACTCATAAATCACAATATAGTGTCACAAATGGAAACGTTAGCTAAATATAAACAAACCGGCCAGCAGCCATGTTGTTCAGACTAACTCAACTCGAAAGAAACCAAGGGTTACCCATCCAACTTGTGCCGTCAGCTCTCTGCGTTTGCGCCAACAGCCCGGATTCAAAAAGTGTTTTAGAGGGTTACGGTTTTAAAATCGTTATTTCTCCCTTTAGCAATTTTTTATCGAGCTCATCGTTTTTCTCATAAAATTTTACCTTATTGTTAGATGCAGTAGCTTTTAAGCGAATCCCTCACCAGCCAAACTGGCCCATTGGTTTAGTTCGAAGGACAAAACCCATGTTGAGCGGTGTCACTGATCAATCGTGATGTTGAAAAGTTTACAGTGACTATACCTACACTAAAAACTCACATTCAATGGTTGTGCGCATCGCAATAACAGTCGCGACTTTTTACATGTATAATAAGTCACTTGGTTCACACTTCTTACTTTGTCACTTTTTGTTTTTTTCATTTCCATTCCTACTCTCAAGCTCCGACTCACAGTGATATGAAAGTTCATTTTACACTGTGTAATACACACCCACAGACACACCTTCACCAACACACACCCTCATACACACCCACTCAAACACACCCCTCCCCCAACACAAACCCTCTCTCACCTACTCACACAGAGCGTGCAACCATTTCACTTTGATTGGTAAAACCATTCGAAAGATGTATTTCGGAGCATCACTTTTGACACGCAAACCCATACTCACCTGAAAACAAACCTTCATTAGACCCCCAGGCTGACAAGAAGTTGTCCTACTTCATGACCGTCTGGAGTGACCCTCTGTCTACCCACAAAATTGTGCAGTCCGATCATGGTGTAAAAACTGTCTTGTTCCATTCAGTCCTTATTTTTTTTTTTTAGTGAAAAGGGTGTCTGGTAATTTTCAAAAGGCCAATTCCCTGACTTTTCCCTGATTTCCCTGACAAAATAAGAAAAATTTCCTGACATTTCCCTGACAAAGAGTAAAAATTCTCTGATGCTCGACAATTTTGTAAAAAAAACTTCATGTTTCAACTCGGTAAAATTGGTATAATTCTTGAGGCATTTGTGAGATTCAGAAAATTTTTCCAGTTACAAGAAATAGCAGAAAAAAGAGCAAGATCCTAGAAATATGCATATAATAGTATATTAGACATCCCTTGACAATATCTGGCGTCCAGTTTGAATTTGACAACAGTGAGCATGTAAAAAACTATCTTCAGTAAGAGGACTCTCAAAGTGCCTTGATCTTCAATGATAGCATATAACATTGCAAAATTGAGAAGAATCGAGTTGTTTTTGTAGGTAAAATATGATCAATGTTCCATTTAATTTGCTGTACTTTCTTTGCTGAACTTGGAGGTTAATTCGAAGAAAACTGCGGGAACGAACCGGGCGCAGCGACTTCCGCCACAGCGTGCTAGCGATCAGACTGAAGGGAATCAAGTGGCGCTGCGCGACTATGCAATCACACACAATGCATTTAGTAAATACACGTAATATATTAGTCGTATTTTGTTCACCACAACAATTGTTTCCTGTTGTTCCGGACATTCCGATTGTTTCGAAACAATGTCGCAAAACGTTGCCAAATTGTGCAAAATAAATAAACGAATAAAAATAGGCCACGCCCCTTAACATAAGTAACATTCGAACAAAATACGACTGTAACGAGATGTTCGGAGTTGTTTCATTGAACAAAATACGACTATTGACAAAACTTGCACAGAACTTCTTGGGAGATTGCGGTTATGCTTGACGAAAAATTGCGATCTCGTCCCTTTCTGAAAAAATTCCTCGAATTCAACTTTTCGCAAATTCCCTAACATTTTCTCTGACACAAAAAAAAATTCCCTGACACTCCCACTTTTGGCGAATTCCCTGACGTTATTCCCTGTTTACCCTGACTAAAAAAAATCCCTGACGTTTCCCAGTTGCTAGACACCCTGTTGAAAATACTTAAAGGACCCCGCACACCTCTTATGGGCAGCTGCACCATGAAGAATTGCCTTCTGACTTACGTCATTCGATTCTCCTCAAGATGCTGATCAAAAGTTATAATTGCGCCAACTTTCTGCGATGCACCGTTTTCGCAAAAAACCTATGAGAAGATTCAATTATTCGGTGATAAAAAGCCAGAAAGATTCCTCATTTCAGTGCTTGATTGACAAGCGGCTGTGTGTCAACAAGGAAATCATGGGGACTCCCGCACCGAGCGGCAGTCTTATCTCGGATTCCGCACACCGTTTTGCTCAACCACCATCCAAATCAGATTCTTGAGGAGCATAAGAACAGGAGAGTCTGAACGTCTACCGGGCAAGTGCGGGAGAGAGATAGCCCCTGAGTTGGCAGGTACAGATAAGAAGACGGACTCGCGCTATGTTTTTTCCTTATTCACATCGGGCCTGTTCTCAAATGCTTTGTTCATTCTTTTTTATTCATAGTTGCCGAATAATTGAATCTTCTCATAGGTTTTTTGCGAAAACGGTGCATCGCATAAAATTGGCACAATTATAACTTTTTATCAGCATCTTGAGGAGAATCGAATGACATAAGTCAGAAGGCAATTCTTCATGGTGCAGCTTCCCATAAGAGGTGTGCGGGGTCCTTTCTTCATTTATTTTTTTTTTTCCAGCTAATTCTTTAGTGCAAATTATGTAAAAGGTTGGAAGTTTCAGAGAGTAAGATAAAATATTACTTACTTGCGGAGTACTACTTTTTTCTTTGCTTTTTTCAGGAGAAATACTACAATTAACAACCTCATTGCTTGTTTGCAAAGATCCAACAGGAGTGGACTGAAAAGAAAAAGAAAGATCGATTGAGAAAGTTTGAATCAAGTACAAAAAACGGAAAAGTGTTCAGAGCATTGCACTAGATGGAAAAAATTCCAAAGGACGTGGGACACATTTGCGATTAGCTTTTGGAGGAGATAGGAGAAGAAGACAGCAGATTAATTCCACTGTTTTTAGTAAAGAAGAATTTTAATACTAGAAAGATAAATGTGTTCATGCGATACAGAGCGCATGAACATCATTATGCACATGAATTTATAAATCTGGACTTGGGACGAATGATTCCCTTACTCGAGAGCTCTGCACTGTTGGGAAATGTACTAAGATAGCATGGAAAACATAATCAAGTTTATATGAAAGAGCCTTCCAAAATTTCGCCCCTTTTTTGGTATTCGATTCGACCATCCAACCAAGGTTTAAATGGAAGCTTATATTGACAGAAAACTCGGGAAAAAATTTCAAGATGAGTATAGGAACCGTTTTCGAACGACGGGGGGGGGGGGGCAAAGGGGTCAAAATTCGGCCTCAATGTATGCTATTTTCTTGTTGAATTGATATGACTACGGGGTTCTTATCGTTGTTTGCACATGTCAAGCACATCGACTCTTGCGTATTTTTTCAGTAAAATCGATTTATAATGTTGCTGTATCGATACTTTGATCAGTTAAATAGATTTTTAACGATTTTTTAACGAAAATCAATGATTTTTCGGGATTGAAATTGTTTATTTTCGATTCATGGATATGCACCTAACATGACTGTAGCACACCGAACCCTACGTATTTTGACACGTAAAATTGATTTCTAACATTGACGAGTCGATTTGTTGATTGGTTGTATTGAATTTCTGCGATTATTTGCGGAAAATCAATGACTTTTCTGGATTACAATCAGTTTTTCTCCATCCGAGGTTGGAGAAATGTACCCAACATGATTAGAGCACATCGATTCTTATGTACTTTTACCAGCAGAATGGATCTTTAACGATGACGAGTCAATATATCGATTCGATATACATAATTCTTGCGATTTTTTATGGAAAATCGATGGGTTTTTTTTGGATTAAAATTGGAGAAATCTACCAGACATGACTGTAGCACATCCATTCAGTCGTGCTTAGGTATTCTCGTAAAATCAATTTTTGAGGTTGACTAGTCGATATATCGATCGGTCATATTGATTTATTGGGATGTTTATGGAAAATCGATGATTTTGATCGGGAATGAAATCGGTTACTCTCAATCCGAGGGTGGAGATGTGTGGCTAGCATAACTGAAACACACTGATTTCCACGTATTTTTATACGTACAATCATTTTCGAGATAGTCAGGTCAGTTGAGCGATCCGACAAACCGATTTTTTATGGAAAACCGATGATTTATTGAAATTGAGATCATTTATATTTTAATCAATGCGGGAACAAAGGGATGCACCCGACACGACTAGATTTATTCTTACTTTGGCAGAACTAAATCCATTGACACCAGTGTGAATCAGAAGATGAATGACTACACTAAGAATAGTTTAAGATGAGACAAACACATACTTTTTTACGGAGCAGTATGAGAATTTCGCAGACTAGCATATTTTAAGGAAGATTAAACTGTCGCTTGAGTCGGTCAAATATGACCGATCGATATATCGACTCGTCGATGTTACAGATCGATTCTACGTGTAAGAATACGTAAGAATCGACTTGTTCCAATCATGTCAGCTGCATTTCTCCACCCTCGGATTGAGAGTAACCGATTTCATTCCCGATCAAAATCATCGATTTTCCATAAACATCCCAATAAATCAATATGACCGATCGATATATCGACTAGTCAACCTCAAAAATTGATTTTACGAGAATACCTAAGCACGACTGAATGGATGTGCTACAGTCATGTCTGGTAGATTTCTCCAATTTTAATCCAAAAAAAACCCATCGATTTTCCATAAAAAATCGCAAGAATTATGTATATCGAATCGATATATTGACTCGTCATCGTTAAAGATCCATTCTGCTGGTAAAAGTACATAAGAATCGATGTGCTCTAATCATGTTGGGTACATTTCTCCAACCTCGGATGGAGAAAAACTGATTGTAATCCAGAAAAGTCATTGATTTTCCGCAAATAATCGCAGAAATTCAATACAACCAATCAACAAATCGACTCGTCAATGTTAGAAATCAATTTTACGTGTCAAAATACGTAGGGTTCGGTGTGCTACAGTCATGTTAGGTGCATATATTCATCCATGAATCAAAAATAAACGATTTCAATCCCGAAAAATCATTGATTTTCGTTAAAAAATTGTTAAAAATCAATTTAACTGATCAAAGTATCGATACAGCAACATTATAAATCGATTTCACTGAAAAAATACGTAAGAGTTGATGTGCTTGACATGTGCAAACAACAATAAGAACCCCGTAGTCATATCAATTCAACAAGAAAACAGCATATATTAAGGCCGAATTTTGACCCCTTTGCCCCCCCCCCCCCGTCGTTCGAAAACGGCTCCTATACTCATCTTGAAATTTTTTCCCAAGTTTTCTGTTATTATAAGCTTCCATTTAAACCTTGGCCCGATGGTCGAATCGAATACCTAAAGAGGGGCGAAAATCAGCCCTTATTTTGGGAGGCTCTTTATTAAAAGACATTACCTATTACAGAGCTTATTTATTAGGATCATACCGTTACTGACACTTATAGCAGGTAATTTTAAAATTGTTTCCCGTAAACTGGATTCTTTATCAAACATTCAGACGGTTCATCTCAGGGTCTGGGTAAAGTTAAACTGGTATTTGATATAATTCATTAATTTGGTCTAATATCAAGGTAAACTCCTGAGTTTTAAACCAAAATTCAAATAATACGAATTCCATTCACCAAAAAAGGGAAAAATTCGTGGTCAGACATGAGGGGAAATCGCAGTGAGTGCAGTGGAGTGGGATACTACCCAGAGGATTTATGTTGATTTCCACGGTGACAGGGCAGATCACTCAGGCATTTGAGGTTCCCGTAGTTCATCCTAAGAGAACAACAGATTCATCACGATTCTTTTTACTTTCCTCCATGGGAGCAGACCAACGCTTTGACGCACACAACAAATTTCCTATGTACAGTACACACGCATCCTTCTGATTTAATTAATCATTGCGTTCTTCTTTTTAGCATAATGAAGTTCAATTTTGCTGTTGGAATGCTCTACAACCCTTTCCTACAAATCCTTCCTGTCTTACCACTTCTTCTACAGTCACTTTTCTATACCCGTTTTCATTATGAATCACTGTTAAACATTTTCGTGAACTCGTTTCTTGTGTTGTTTTTGATTTGATGAAGCTGTTGGAGGTTCGCAAGGACTAAAAGTCACCCGTGAAGCGGATGACTGAGGATGCATGGGGAAACTCCCTGCTTCAGCTGTGACGGCACGTGCAGCGCGTCCCATTGGTAGGAACTATACCAACATTGGTAAATGTTTATATCTAAATTATATATTTACTAATATTATGTTGTTAATAATTATATAAAATATTTCTATACATTTTTATACAGGGTAATCCAAAAGTCACCTACCACTCCTGTAACTTTTTTCCCAATTGAGATAGAAGCTTGAAACTGTGGCAATGTTCCTCGGTCTAAAATAGCAACTGTTTAAGCATGATGGAGATTGGCTAGAGCTCTGATTTTGGAAGGATTATTTCACTTCTAGTAGTCATTTACGGTGTGCTAGTTAATTTTTAGATCAACATATTTTTTGTGCCCCCCACATGCCCTTAAAAATGCAAAAAACGCTATTGCGGCCGAAAGCGCCTTGTATATTTCAACGATTTTATCGATTTTTTGGATGACTTGGTAACCATGCATAAAGTCAATTTTCGGTTTTTAGGAACCATTCACTTGAATGATTGGGGAAAAATATTAGTTTTTCGGATGCGGGCGGTTTTTCCCCCATCTGCAAGCTCACAGTAAGGCCGAATAGCTCGATTTGGTCGAAATCACATCGATTTCCGCCATTCTTTTGCACGTCTTGGCAAGCATATTAAAAAATTGGGCTTCCAATTTTCGTAGACTCTGTTTACAGCAAAATAAGAGGATATAATAATTATTTTGCTGGGGAATGTTTTTCTGCCTCCGCAGGGCCCTCACCAAGCCAGAAAAACTTGATTTTTAGCGACTTCTCAACGATTTTTGACAATGTTTTTCAGAGACTTGGCAACCACGCAAAAATTTGACCCTTCAATTCTCCGAGACTCTTCTTATGGCAGAATCAGATCCCGTAAAACTTTTTTCGTTTACGTCATTTTTTGTACATCCTCAGAGGCAAGAAAAAGATGACTTTTGACTCCCATTCATCGCTTTAAAAACCTTAAATATTTTAACTCCTTTGTTTACATATTTAACTTTTACTGATAATTAGGTGTTTATTTATTCAAAGACTTCTTTTTTATCATTGTTCACTTTAATTTACATCAGGTAAAGTATCAAATTAAACCTTCAATGAATTAAAAATATTTAAGGATTTTATAGCGATGAATGGGAGTCAAAAGTCATCTTTTTCTTGCCTCTGAGGATGTACAAAAAATGACGTAAACGAAAAAAGTTTTACGGGATCTGATTCTGCCATAAGAAGAGTCTCGGAGAATTGAAGGGTCAAATTTTTGCGTGGTTGCCAAGTCTCTGAAAAACATCGTCAAAAATCGTTGAGAAGTCGCTAAAAATTAAGTTTTTCTGGCTTGGGGAGGGCCCTGCGGAGGCAGAAAAACATTCCCCAGCAAAAAAATTATTATATACTCTTATTTTGCTGTAAACAGAGTCTACGAAAATTGGAAGCCCAATTTTTTAACATGCTTGCCAAGACGTGCAAAAGAATGGCGGAAATCGACGAGATTTCGACCAAATCGAGCGATTCGGCCTTACTGTGAGCTTGCAGATGGGGGAAAAACCGCCCGCATCCGAAAAACTAATATTTTTCCCCAATCATTCAAGTGAATGGTTCCTAAAAACCGAAAA